AGGAAAGTCTGGCTCTGTATGTTGATGTGAATGTTTGTTCAAGTTTCAGCTATGGTCGTCTTTTGATTTGACCTCTGAAACTGGAGTGAGTCTTTAGCTGAAAATCCAGTCTTGGTCCTAATCCTTCCTAACCCTCTCACAAAAATGTGCATTAAATATGTGATGTAAAGGACTGAAGCTGCAGCAGAATCTAAAGAGATGTTTTTAATAGTCAAGTACATGTTAACATTGGCAAACCACAGAGTACCTTATTGAGATAAATGTGTTTGATAATGATACGTGCGTCTCCTTCTGCCAAGAAGAAAATAAACTCGTCAGAAATGAGAAGGAACATATTCTCATGTACTTGAAGCAAAAAGGTTTATTTTAGAGCACTCCCAGTGCTCATAATCCTCCATGCACGTGTCAAATTTAAGCTCAAGAACTTTTTCAAATAGCTGAAGTTAAAACGTGATGTCTGAGGAGGAAGCGCTTTTGGAAATGGACAGATCAGAATAATTTAAACAAAAGTGAAACAGAAAGGAATAACAAGGTGTTCCCTATCTCCTAAGCAGTCGATAATTAGCAATGACAGACAGATTGTTCTGTGAGACATAATTACAAGCCTTCAAGTCTTTCGCCCTGAGGCAGATACCGCAGGGAAAGCTTCCTTGTGTTAGTTCTCCAAATACAGGAGGTGGAGTGGAACGCGTGCTGCCACTCTTCCCTCTGACTCTGGAACATGATTTCCATTTTCCCTGAATTCATCACAAAGTCCACTGAAAACACTTCTGAGCAGCGGAAACACCTGCTCTTTGCTTATGAAAAAATATGCAAAAAAAGAACGTCATCCTGCACTTAAGTGTGATTTGAATAAGCAAAACCTAAACTTGACTCACCCGCTGATGATAATGCTGTCATCAAACAGGTAAACTTTGATGTGCTGGACTCCGATGGTCTCATTGAAGCGCTGCGGGACCAGAAGTCTAAGGAGGCCCCTCAGGTCTGGAGTGTGGTACAGAGAAACCCGCATCTGAGAGCTGAAGCGCTGCAGCAGAGGCAGAAGCATCGTTCTCGAGTTGATCTGCCCTGCGTGGACGACATCAAATGTTAAACACATCTGGAATTAACAGCTGGAGATGTTACAGGAGGTGTTACCTCGTGATCCACGAGTGTAGTCCAGTAATATGGAGACTTTTAGGTCTGAGTGACCGTTTTCCTGTGAGTGTTGGAGAACTTCTTCCATGCAGTCCACCTTAAAATAAAAATAACAGGATTATAACTTTCTGCTGTAACTTGACATTTTATACATAAAAAACAGCTGGATTCATGTTGTAGAGATCAAATATAATACTATATAAAAACCAGATCCAAAATGATAATGTTTACAAGTCTAATGCCAGCAAATAGACTCAGGATGATTCTGAGAAGCTGAGCTCATAAGAGGAACAAACATTTCTGCTATGGTGGACTTTCACATTTTCTGCAATTCTCACAAAAGAAGACACAAATATGATAAGAGCTGTTCCCAGCAGGGATTGTCGCAAAAGACGTTTGAAACAAACTCACAGCAGCCACTCCTCAAGCTGGACTTTTTTAAGTCAAAACGTTTTTTTTATTTCATCAGTGAATAGTTAGGAGTCCCTGAAGTCATGTGTTATGTAAAAAATACCCAGAAAACCACAAGATTTCTGGTAAATGTAGATGTAATGGTCTCATTTCTGCAGTTTCGTGCTGTTTGACAGATGACAAAAACAAAAAAACTTAAAATAAATCCTGAAGCCGGCTTTAAAAATGATAACTGACAAGTTGACAGACTCTTCTGAACTTTATGCAAAAAAGTTACTCGAATTTTACATTCAGCTCAGCCAATGCATGACTCTGCTATTTTCATCTTTTCGTATCGTAAATTTAAATTTGTTTGGTCTTGCTGCTCAGGCTCCATCTCTATAAATACTAATGAGCAGCAGATGCTCACTACTTCTGACCCTTTTTCAGAAAACAAATAAATTCAAGATCATTACTCATGGATTAAAACACCAGAATAGCAAGAAATAAAAGCTTTATACCATCTGCCAACTTCAAGCCATACAAAGAAGTTCTACATTTAAGCTTTAATCTCCTTTAATCCTAATAGTTTCCTACAGATTCTATAAGCACATATTTTAGTAAAATGCTGTAAATGAAAACAAAATTTCCACTAATTTTATATTTTACTATGCATGTTCCTAACTTGCACTGTGCCAATTAAAACCAAGCACTCGTTTAATGATGTGATCTTCACATTTAAAACATTGAATGTCAAATGTTTTCAGACGGTGCCACGAAAAATGTATATTTACTGAGAATTTGGTAGCACAGAGTTTTATCATCATGTTATTTTTATTGTGTGTTTATGGGAAAAGAGGAGTGCAATGAGGAAGAACTGATCTACTCAGAGCACTAGCTCGGTGTGTTTTAGTAAAATCATCTTGTTAAATTACCCTGCGTTATTTCTGCTAAACTGTGGCCATTATTGTCTTTTGCTTCCTTCATGAAATCAAAAATGGGAATAAAGTTAGTCTTTGCAACAACGAGCCTGATGGTTTCCATCTCAAATGTACACTGCTCTGCCTGCAGCCGTGCGTCTCTTAGTGCATCCACAGTCTGTGTTATGCATTTTGTACTCTTCTATGACATACTGACTAATTATATTAACATCTGCAGTCACAACACTGAACCATGTGAACAAGATGCAAGCTTATTTGCTTTTCTGGAAAAATACACACTGGAAACAAGGCGGGACATTTGTGGACCGCCTTGCTGCTTGATGTGCATCCTCGTGTGAAAGCATGAAACTAATTACAACTTTAATATCTTAAGTAAAGACCCTTGAGCAAACTTTGCATGTGTTGTCCTGAAGATAAACATGACTTTGTTTTAATCACCAGAAGACTCTTGCTGTTGGATCCAACGCTTGAGTAAATACACAGTTCAGGTGTGACCATCAACAGCAGCTCAGCCGCCCTCCAGTTGAGACTGAAAACAGGGTTGGGTTGAGTTTGTGCAGGTTTTAGACTGAAATTACACCCACAGCTTGATTTTTTCGTCCCAACCACAAACCGTGCTTTTCTTTTCACACTGGTTTGAATTTTGTTAATTTAATTTATTTTAAAAGCAAAAAGCGAAGGTGGATTGACCTCACTGCCCCTCACCGACCTGCATAGTAATCCATCATCCTGTTAGGTTACAGCATTTAGTGGCTGAGTCCAATACTTTTAACTGTGATGGAGCCTTTTGGCTTGTGTGTTCCTTCCCTCTCTAGTGCTGCTGGTTTCAGTTTGTTAGAGAAAAAAGGGAAAACAGCTAAATCTGAGCGTCAGTCCAGACTGTGGTTTGCTTTGGTCTTAATGTTGTTATGCTGGGCTTTCCAAGCATGAAAAACAGCACGCCATCACACGCCAGCACCTCCTCATACCAATAAACCCTTGCATTTTGGGGTCATTCCTTGTAGTTTTGGCCTGGAGAACATTTTCATTCTGAACTAAACACAGTGCGGTCGTCCTGGAAGAAAAGTCTGACTCACATTTTCTGGCATCCGTGACCAGTCATCTGGCAAGATCCTGAGCCGTTATGGCATTGTTCTCACCTGCTCTGAACTACAGAGGATACTTTTCTCTACTTTAAAAGTGTAAGGAACGTGAATTTGCTCACCAGCTCCTGCTCCAGCTGACCTGTTCCCAGATACAAGGAGGCCATCACCACTCGCCTCTCCGCAGTTTGGATTCGCTTCTTAAAGGGGAAAGAAGCAGAAGGGACAGCAAATGAGACCAAAGTACACGTGGGTTTTACATATCTTGTAAGAAATGTCTAATATAACAGTATAAAATCCTGCAGGACTTGTTGGCAGTTGCATGAAATTATTAGACTAATGAGCAAAAGAGGTAATAGGTTTGCAATAAAATCTTGAAATCCTGAATCAGCCATGGGTGACTTTATTTACTGCTTGGTTTTATTGTAAAATACACATAAGAAGAGCATTTGGGCCAAATAACAACTACAGTGATTCCATGTTGTCGTTCTTTTATAAAACACAGAAACGGTTGTTACCTGTTATTGACGCTACAGTTTCGCCGACGGCTGCCGGTTTCTTCAGTGACGCGCCACCATCAGCGTCAGCCTGAAGAAGCCGGCAGCCGTCGGCGAAACTGTAGCGTCAATAACAGGTAACAAAACCGTTTCTGTGTTTTATAAAAGAACGACAACATGGAATTAGAACGCACAGCAAGAACACACCTAAGAACTACAGTGATCCCTCGCTACTTCGCGGTTCATTTATCGCGGATTCACGACTTTGCGGATTTTTTCTTTGGAGCCTTATTCAAGGGAAATTCGCCGATTTGCGGTATTTTTCACCGATTTGCGGTATTTTTCACCGATTTGCGGTATTTTTCTATGTGAAATATCAAGAAATTCCTGGGTTTTTTTTTTCATCAATTTCATCATAAAATGCACTTTTTGTACTAAAACTATAAAAAAACCAAGTAAAAATACAGTACTATGTAAAGGGAGGGTTTTGAAAGTCTGAATACTGAATACGTACCTGTTAAATAAATACTGTAAATATGGTGTCCCTACTTCGCGGATTTTCACCTATCGCGGCCAGGTCTGGAACGCATCTACCGCGATAAACGAGGGATCACTGTATACAGACTTTAAGTTTGTGATATTTTCCACATTTACTGAAAGAATAAGATGCCTTTTAGAAAAACCAATAATCCTCATTAACATGCTCAAAGCTTTCACCTCTCTCAAGGTATTTTCTCAACACCCTGAACCTAAATTCATTACGAAAATCATGAAACAGGAAAATATATTTTAAATTATTTTTGCCCTTACGAAATAAAACAGAACTTCAAATACTGGAGAAGTGTACAAAATCATATCAAATCTGTTTCACATATTTTTATACAATTAAAATAACTTTCACAAGTCTTATTCATTGAAACATGTTAAAAGGAAATTCTGCTGAAATTCTAAAAATGATTTAAATGACGAGAGAAGGTGTTTATACAACAATGTAAATATGTCATGCCTTGTTGCGTGCAGGGAAAGTACCATCATCAGGAAAGAACACTCACACAGACTTCACCTTTGATGCCACATTTAATTTGGAGAAGTTGGTCAGCGTTTATGGAAAGTTGGGACACAGGAAAGAGGTGTGTGTGTGTGGGGGGGGGGGGGGGGCAAAATAGAAAGAAAGAATAGAAGATATGCTCTGATGACATTGCCAGCTGTCCTCAAAAACCCTTGAAGATGTTTCTAATCAGCCACTCTGGAGTTGACAACCCATATGGAGATGCAGTTTGTCAAGATGCTCTCCACGTTGCCTTCGTAGAACATGCTGAGGATGGGAAGAGGGAGAAGGGTCTGTGTCAGACATCTCAGAAAGTGGGGCCTTCTTGGTGATGTAGTTGGTGTTAGTGGTCCAGGTGAAGTCAGCTGTGATGAGAAGTTCCAGTAACTGTGTTTTTTGCAGTGTGGATGCTGAGTGGGGTGTGGTTGAGGCAGGATCTACTGAAGTCAACAATCATCTCCTTTGCTTTGTCTACAACAGGTAGTTTGCATCACACCAGCCAGCCAGCTGCTGAACCTCGTCTCTGTACGTTGGCTCGTGGCTGTGGAGTCTCATCACAGTGGTGTCATTTGCAAACATGATGATCTGGTTCAAGCTGTGAATGGTGGTACAGTCATCAGTCAGCTGAGTGAACTGCAACAGACAGAGGACACAGCCAGGGGGGGTATTTCCGTGCTTAGTCGATGATGCTGGAGATGTTATCGTCAATAAGGATGGACTGAGGCCTCTGACAGAAAATCTATTGGTTAAGGCAATTATGAGACAGATTTATGACCAAATTCTGAACAAAAAGAGCAGAATAACAATTTCCATGCCGGTCACATGACCACTAATGGGCCATTCCCATCCGTACCGGGTCGGCCCGGGCCGGGTAGCCCCAGTCGGCCCCAGCCTGGCCCGGTTGATTCCACACATCCTTGTCTTAAGCCCATGTGGGCTGATTCTACCCACCAATCAGAGGCTTGCTCTAATGGAAGGTGTGAATTTGCTGTCAGCAGTGGGTGTGTTGGCCCTGGTCGGCCTGAAGCAGACCCCCTCGAGAAGAGGGCTGAGAATGAGCCTTGGTTGGCCCGGAAGAATACCAGGCCACCCAGATATGTAAACAACCTACGCTACCCGGCCTGGGCCGACCCGGTACAGATAGGAATGGTCCATAAGATGTACAATCTGCTCAGAAGAGCCAAAAGGTAGACTGCCAGTTCAAGAACAAAGGGAGAGATTTTGCTTTCAGAGACTTAAATGGACTTGGAGGAGACTGAATGTTGTGCTGGCATCTGACAAACACCTAAAACAAATCCTAAATTAATCACCGTGAAGCTCTGTAGAAGGGTTCTCCAGAGTGAAATGAAAGCCTCATGACCACAAACTCACATTAAAGAAATAACTAGACATTATTAAGAGGCATGTTAGCTCAGATTATCATGTAGTCTAGCAGTTATAAACTCCAAATGTTCTCCAGCTTAGCCTGTAAACAGATCCCTTTAAATTCACAGCACAGAAACTTTTCTCACTCCAGTCATAATAAAAGAAGTCAGATTTTCATCAGAGTGAACCTTGAAGGTATTTACTCTATAAAGGTATCGGGATGTTTCGGACATATTTTGGAAACTTTTGAATTCCCACTTCAATAGACTCTTCAGATTGACATCTCACAGCCATGTGATGACACTGTGGTTTAGTTTGTTTAAAAGTTTTGGCAACCACAAGAATTCCTCGAGCTTGTAGCAGAAGGTCTGGTACAACCTCGTGATGGCAGAAAAAATAGTTCCTGTGCCAAAACTGTGGTATAAATATCACAATGTGCAATTCACACAACAGCAACCTATCAGTTAACAGCTTGGAGGAGTGGCTAAACGGTAAACTACGTTCACACACACACACACACACACACACACACACACACAGTGCGTCACATCTTGTAACATTCTTTCAACCATGACAAAAAAAGATGTTTATATAACCTTTTTTGTCTTTACAAGTCACTCAAACATCATTAATTATAAATCCTTAATTAATGACACTATTTCTGACTCCGGTATAGCTCAGGTGTGATGATTAAGTTGTGGATCATTCCTGCACGTGTCTGGGTGCCTTCTTAAAATAATTTCCCAATTAAAATTTTGAATTGAAGGAATTTGTCATAATCTTGCATTAAGTTTCCAAATGGTCAGTTAAAAAATATTATTTGAGATGCATTTAAATATTTCAAAAATATTTATGTAAATGTAAAATACCTACATGGGAAAATGTAGCAGTGTAAATATCTTAGACAATGCTCCAATGAGCATGAAACACTAATAAATTATTTCACTCGTGCATTCAGAAGCCTGTTTTATTACGCTGTATCAGAGACCTTTATAACCTACCAAGGCTCTTAAATAAAAATGTAAGATTATCAGATTACAACGAGCAGTCAAGCTGTGTTTTCTTTTATTATTGTTCTTTTTTTAACCAGAGCAGATGAAAAGTCGTACGTTGGAGGAAACCTAAAAAGATTCCCAACTGGAGACACTAGACTGACATACAAAGGTAAATGACAATGCTACTTTGTACCAGTGGTTTATATGAAACTGTAAATTCTCTCATGTGTCTAGGGTTAAGAATTAAATTGTTCCAATACATTTTTCAGTTGCTAATTGGTGCATTTAACCTAGTTTTACAGAGCAGATTTGGGATTAGTAATAATTAATTAGAGATGCAGCAGGTACGAACACGAACCTTCATCGTCTGGTAGAACTGGTCAGGTGAGGTCAGAATTTTGATGTTGCCTCCTGGAACCCGGAAGGCAGGGACTTGCTCTGCCATCCATCGGAAGTGGGCGCAAAGTTCTTCTGTACCCTGAGCTCTGGCCGACCCGGGGGGCTTGGAAATGCGTTGAGGAACTGGGTCGGTATCAACGAGCAGGGGAGCCAGTAGCAGCACCGACGACCTGCAGGAGACACAAACAACTCTGGTATTTTTTATTTTATTCCTGGTATTTTTAGAATCTTCAAACAAGAATTTTAAAAAGGATGGTTTATGAAGAATGTGATTTACATCCTCGGTAGAGCTTCTAAGCTTCATATTTCAGACATTTGGATCTGTGCCGGATCATTTTGTCATTTTGTTATATCATAAAACTGTAACAACTCAATAAACAGATAAAGCAGCAATGTTGCAATGAGCAGATGGGTTGGTTATAATAAATGTAATGACTGCTTAGAGGCGGAGCAAGCTAGCCACTAGTGGTAGCTTTTCCTGCTAACTTTAGAAATACACTTGTTGTACATTTATATTAATAAAAACGTTACTGAGTCATCTTGTTTCTTATTTTTAATTTATATTTTAAAAACAAATATCACCCAGCCCTAGAGAAGACAAAAGTTTAATTTTTAGGCCTAGCTGCAAGCACCAATGCTCATCACCCTGAACACACCATCCCCACTGTGAAACACAGTGGTGGCAGCATCATGTTGTGGGAAGGCTTTTCTTCAGCAGGGACAGTGAAGATAGTCAAAGACAACAGGAAGATGGATGGAGCTAAATGCAAGGCACTACTGGAATAAAAACTGATGGAGGCTGCAAAGGACTTTAGACTGGAAAGGAGATCCACCTTCCAGAAAGGCAATGACCTAAACATACAGTTAAGAGCTACAATTACATGGTTTAGATCAGAAGATATTCATGTGTGAGACTAGCCCTGTCAAAGTCCACACCAAAATCCCAATGAGCATCTGTGGCAAGACTAAGATTTCTGTTCAGATCTCCTCCAATCTGGGTGGGTTTGAGCGAATTTGCGGCAAAGAATAGACATTTTCAGTCTCTAGATGTCCAAAGCTTGTAGATATACTCCAAAATACTTGCAACTGTAAATGCGGAAAAAGGTGGCTCAACAAAGTAATTGTGCAGGAGGGCTGACTAAAAATAGCTGCCACAGTTTTCAGACATTATTTGCAAAAAATTTTGAAAACCATGTACCAGTTTCATTCCACTTCTCAAATATGTGCTACTTTATGTTGGTCTATCACAGAAAATCTCAATGAAAACATGTAAGTTTGTGGTTGTAATGTGTCAAAATGTGTAAAGATTCAAAAATTACTTTTGCAAGACACTATACAACATCCTCCAGAGGTTGGTCCAGGATAAATCCTGCTGCTCTATGTAAACACTAAAGGACATTGTCCAGAATGACAATTTTCCAGAAGTTGATTTCTGTTGATTCAGATAGTTCTTACATATCTGCTGCATGTTTAAAATATTTAATTTTGTAAAATTTTGTTGTAATACATTTAGTTTAAAAAAAACACCAAAATTGTGTGCAGGTGCAGGAGTGTGACTCACAAAAGCAACACAGCGACACAAGTAAACAGGATGTTTGGGCTTCACCTTTGGTACAAAGGCAAAAATCAGTGGTGCATCTTATAAGGTAATGGTGCAGGCAAAAAAAATGCAAATACATGAAAATCAACATTTATTAAAAATATAGCACCTAAGAAGCAAGAGGCAACGGATGATGATGAGCATTTGTTGTAAGACGAAGGTGTAAAAGATTCATGTTGATGACCCAAATATTCAATATAAAGAGTAACTCACAATATCTCACCAATGACACCAATAACATCATGATTCATCAATTCTAGGATAGTCGATACATTGCAGGACAATCCTAAAATACACAATGTCTTCACCACTACGCATTTCTTTTTTTAATGCCAGAGAAAAGTGTTGTTTGCTCTTGTATATAATAGAAAAACCCCTAATTGTCCCTCGATGGAAAAATTTTAGGTTTACAAAAAACATAATATACGTAGTCGGGCAAATCAGCCAAAGACAAAGTGGAACGAGAAACTCGTGACATGAATGTGAACCACATCACAAGCCTTTAAACACTTTACAACTTAAAACTACCCGGATCAAACACGACTAAAACATCATAGATTATGCAGGACGGGGACGTCCCTGTTGGCTTGGATTCAAACCCACAAACACATATAGTATACAACCTAAAGTCATAAAAACACAATTTGGCAAATAACTTCCTTGTGTTGGTAGATGGTTTCATGAATTATCTGATTTTTACAGCAGTACCAACGTTTTGAAACAGCGCACACCCAGCTGTTAGACAGCTGAGTTATGTCAGCTGATCTCAAGCCAGCTCTCCGTAAACGATAAGGCAGTGAGACGGAAGATAAGAAGTTCACTTTCATGTCATAAAAACAGACGCAAAGAGAAAGATGGAAATCTAAAACACTCATCACGTCCTTTCAGACGCATGGGCAGCATGAACACAGCTGGGCTTTAGATGGTCAATTAACTTTGGCTGTTGGGAAAAAAATGTTTCTTAATTTGAAGCATTTGATAAAAAAAAAAAAGATCAGTCTTTTTCAGGAGTCAATTGCATAGTTTTAACATGAGCGTTGGTTCTGTGAACTACTTTTGTCTTCGAGGCACCAACATCCTCTTTCTTAGCGACTGACCCACAATAAATGAACTTCTTTTAGTCATTTATATTTTTGTTTTTAACCACAGAACACAGACTAGAGATCCACTGACATCTTTTTTTTATTACCGATGTCAATATGATTAATGACAAATGACCCACATTTGTGTAGAGCCTTTCACAATCAGAGGACTCCAAAGCACTTTACACTACAGTAGCTATGTATACATGAGCACAAGCAATCAGAACGAATGTCCCATCAGATCAAAAATTCTTCATGAAACGTAAATTTCATTCCGATTCAGAGAGGTGGTTTGTCCGATCGTCATTCCGATTGATTTCCATACACACACCCGTTCGGATAGTTGGAGTAAAATAATGCCCACTGCACATGTGTGCAACTTCAGCGTGACGTCTTTACGTTTTCGCAGACGCTCGGGACAAGACGAAAACACGGCGGGAAGTTATTCTGCTCTCCTCCTCTCTGTGTAAACATTTCCAATCAAACAAGATTTGAATCGGATAAGGGGAATTTTGGGTCATGCAAACGTAGCTAGTGTATCATTCACCCATTCACACACACATTCACACGATGGTGGTGATGAGCTGACAGAGGTGAGGCTGCCGAACACAGGTGCCACTGATCCCTCCGACCACCACTAGCAGGCAGGAAGGGTGAAAAGTCTTGCTCAAGGACACAACGACAATTACAGACTGAGCGGGGATCTAATTTGCAACTTTCCATCCATGGAGAAGACACTTCCTCTACCACCAGCATGAAACACTTTAATCGTGATAAATGGGTAAGGGGGGGGGGGGGGGGGGGGGGTATAGAATTTGAATTCAATTCTATTTAACTTACTTGCATTGAGTTGAAATGAATAAAAAATGGTTTATTTGTTCTTTGTGTCCTGAGACAACCTTTGCTGTCGGCTGGGGCTATGCAAATAAATTGAATTACAATAACTTCATCTATTTAGCACCTGAAACTCAAGTCCACACAAATAAATAAATAAATAAATAATAAGCCAAATGACTAAAAGAAAATGTGTTTGCTTCAGTCAGGAAAATGTTATATGTGTAATATTTTGTTACTAGGGTGATGAAGACTTTGTGTCACATTGTTTCACGTGTTGCACAAATATGAGGAAATAAAGGCTATTTTGTAAAACCATTGATGTAAATGATTCAACACATCAGGTTCTTCTTTCATTTAAAGCAATCATGATGAGTTTATTTCCTTTGGGGAACCTGTGGCGTCATGAGGAAGTACGTGTCATGTTACAAAATGACAGTGTCTGATTCATAGTATACAGACATCCACGCTTCGAAGTCTTTCCAGTCATTTCGGAGCAAATCGCACAACTATATTAGTCAACGACATTACAGCAAGTTATTACAACTCAGTAGCATCAGCAGGGTCACGCTTCTTAACAGAATGCTGGAAATTTGGTTTAAGACTATGATCTTGGTATAAAAACAAAACATAATTTTCATAACACAAACAGAACGTTTATCTAACTTCCTTTAATTCTATGTTAGAAATATTAAAATCAATAATGAAATTTCTTCTTTTAATATTTACAAAATGAAACTGTTGCTTTTCTCACTGATAATGACTTAATGTTTCCAAATCAGACATTTCTTTCCCTGAGTAATAACAGTAACCAGCCAAAATTGTGGAAAATAATCTGAAGGTGTACTTATATACACTTGTTGCCGGAATTTAACGTGGCGATGTGTATTTTCTCTGGCAATAAGGGGCTGTACCTATTTCAAACAAGCCGTGCTTTCCAGCTATGAGGACATGTATGCCCTAATAAGCCACACGTTTTCGGTTGTACCAAACTATGTTGTTAGAAACAGACAAAATATTGCTGTTTATTTATAAATCTATAATATTTAGTAAAAAAAAATTACATACGTATAACGCCATGCATTGCCTGACACCCCCGTCAAATAAACACACAGACAGACAGACAGACAGACAGACAGACAGACAGAGAGAGAGAGAGAGAGAGAGAGAGAGAGAGAGAGAGTTTTTAAGTTCAAATAACCAGTTACAACTAGGTCATTAGTCACACAGACGCTTCTTGCAACAGACTAATTCATAAATACATACATAAATCCTGGAAAAAATACAGCTTTTAGTTTCTTACTGAGGAAAAGAAAAACATGTTTGCAATACTCTATTGTATTTAAACGTTATTTCATCTGAACGTATGCATCATGATAAGATAAAATCAGCATGAACTGTTAGCCTTAGACTAGGTCTTTCTAGATTTGTTTATTTACAGCTGATGGGCTCAGCTACTCTGTCCTAGTCCAGTAAACATAGACGGAGGTTGGACAAACGTGTTGGCGCACTTTTTACCAAGTTTCCCGTAACTAAAAGTTTCCCGTAACTAAAACGCGAACCCTGATCACATGATTGTTTTTAATGAAAGCCACTCATTAGCGTTTCCAACACAAGCAAAAACGTCAGACAACAGTAATCACGTGTGCTCTGCCCTAAAGGTTTTAATCTGATCACCGTTTGGAAGACGTGAAAGGAAATCTTTGACTGGAACTTGATGAAACGTAAGATGAATGAGTGGTGTCACGTTTCGGATTTTGCTAAACTGTCAGGTTAATGTATCACAGCAGCACGCTCAACCTGTCACTCAACTTTAACTGAAGGGTACCTCGTGGTTGCTAAGTTTCAGGAAACGTGTAACAAAATTCTTATCGGAAGCATTTCCGGGTATAAATGTGACAACATTTTTAGGTAAAAATTTCACTCTTATGATTGGATATCTGCTTGGAACAAAGGCACCAATTAAACGCGTCCGATAACGGATACAGTAGCATATACAACATTAGCATAGCATGCTAAACGGCAGCTCGATCCAGTCTGAAAAACACAATGCTGTCTTCATGTCCGCGTCTGACCTGGTTCACTGTAACTCTTACCCTCTTCTTCTGTCCCGAGCACGAAACAGCCGGTCAGAAATCCTGGTAAAAACCCCGACAAGAGCCGGCGAGGAAACTGAATGTAGTAGCCTCCTCCAGGACACGGGAGCCGCCATTGCTGTAGCCCGTAATTGAAAAACTTTATTGCTACTCTCTCAGTGAACACGAACACACAGTGTCAAACACACAGTGTCAAACACAACACTGAATTTTCCTGCCTACCACACAGTAATAAACATTGAAATATCACCCACTCGTTTCCATTTTGTTTCTTAAGATCCTTTTTAAAATAATTTTTATTCTTAAGTGGCTTTACTGAGAATTTTGTACACGTTTTCTGCTGTTTTTCTCCAAACCTTGGCTGCCTTTTCACTCATTTTCAGTCCAGCAGTACTTGATCTGTATAATCAACAATCCGTTCCCTTTTTCAGTGAAAGTCTGCATGCAGATAAGTCAGATAAATACCAGTAGCATGTGTTTGATCTCCCTCTAAGTGACCTGTCATATGGGGATCACTAGAGTGTGTCGTTGTGTGTGCTATATAGCCAGTTTATCACATTCACATGATGAAGGCTTGAAACACATGTAGGTAGAAATTCATTATAATATATTGTCCATTGTGCTATTGAAATTCAGCAAAAGTTGTAACTCATTTGGCAATTGCCTTTATTGTTTATTTATGCACAACGTACACTGAAAAATAACATTTATCAAGTAGTGGTTCCTTATTTCTTATCCACCTTGCCTCATCATCAACTTTTAGTGCTACAACTCTGGTTTATTAAACTCGTGCAGTGCAGATGTGTCAGGATTACTTACATGAATTGAACTGATCACACACCACTTTACAGTGTAAAAGTATATAGCCACACTGATTCCAAAGTTTGGCTGTAAATGTTATTTATATAGTTTTGTACTATTATTTTTTACTACTACTTTATCTTCTCATGCAACTTCTTATTAAGTACTCATGCACCTTATATGACTGCTGTCATGCCAAATAAACAAAAAATATTGGCAGGCTATTATGTAAACAATAACTCAACTGCTCACTATTTTGAAACAGTTTATGCAGTCTAAATGTTAGATTCAAATGTATATTTACTTCACCTTTTATATATAGTATATGTATATTTTTATATTTTTGTTTTACTTTGCCAAATTGTTTTTATGTAACATGGAATGGATAAAATAAGCGTTGGCTTCAACCCATTCAAAGTAGGTTGACCTACTACACAACCTATAATTGTACAATGACAACTCTGTTCCATCCATCCATTTTCAGCCGCTTATCCGGAGTTGGGTCACAGGCGCAGCAGCCTAAGCAGCGAGGCCCAGACCTCCATCTCCCCCGCAACTTGCAGGGGAATCCCAAGGCGTTCCCTGGCCAGCTGAGAGACATAGTCCCTCCAGCATGTCCTGGGTCTTCCCTTGGGTCTTCACTCAGTAGGACATGCCCAGAAAACCTCACCAGGGAAGTGTACTGGCTGCTCTCAGTATGGAGCGTTACAACAACACTGTTATAATGCAAAATTTTAAAATCTATTCATTCATTCCTCGCAGCAACTAAAAACTTTTTATCTTTGGTTTACACCAAGCCTCCATGATTCTGGGATGAAAATGAAGCCAAGGAGTGGCTAAAATTGCTGTTCCACCGTCATCCGCTAGGGGCTGGCACCAGAAGTGAGCAAATCCTCATTGACTCGCATGTTAAAAATGAAAAATTTACAGCAGAAATAAACATGTTTACAGCCTGGTTCAAAAAACATTTTAGGTTTCGTAGATCTAGTTTACCCATGCTTTCGTTCTTTTTTAAACACAGAAACAGTTTTGTTTACCTGTTTGTAGCTACAGTTTCGCCGACGGCTGCCGGCTTCTTCAGGCTGACGCTGATGGTGGCGCGTCACTTCCTTCTCCGTTTATCTGCGGGCAGCAGAGGACGTTGTCGCCCTCTACTGCCCGCTCTCCCCTCTCCGACGATGCAGTCCCATGCGTGGTCCAGCGTGTAAACTCCGTCGTCCCTGTTCATGGTCCCACATCCACGTCTCCTTATCTCGATTGCTTCCTTGATCCATCTTTTGTATTTTTGTTGTTCGGTGGTTATGATCCGTGTGTTGTCCCAGTCCATTATATGGTTTTCTCTTAAGCAATGTACTAGTACACCCAAAAGACAAAATATCAGCTGGACAAAAATGTGGAGTCATCTACAAAATCCCATGCAAAATATGCAATAAAACATACATAGGAGAAACCGGACGCCAACTCAATACACGGACAATAGAACACAGAAAGGAGTGCGAGAAAGAGGCAAATCGTAAACACACAAGAGCAGCAAAAGAAGAAGCAGAAAGTACAATAAAAAAGTCAGCCGTAACAGATCATTGCTTAAGAGAAAACCATATAATGGACTGGGACAGCACACGGATCATAACCACCGAACAACAAAAATACAAAAGATGGATCAAGGAAGCAATCGAGATAAGGAGACGTGGATGTGGGACCATGAACAGGGACGACGGAGTTTACACGCTGGACCACGCATGGGACTGCATCGTCGGAGAGGGGAGAGCGGGCAGTAGAGGGCGACAACGTCCTCTGCTGCCCGCAGATAAACGGAGAAGGAAGTGACGCGCCACCATCAGCGTCAGCCTGAAGAAGCCGGCAGCCGTCGGCGAAACTGTAGCTACAAACAGGTAAACAAAACTGTTTCTGTGTTTAAAAAAGAACGAAAGCATGGATTTAGAAAGACACAGCAAGAACACACCTAAGAAGATCTAGTTTACATTCATGACAACTCTGAGGGGGGTGACTTTTTTGTAACTTCTGTTTAAGTGGATTTAAATACTTAAAATTCTGAAAAATTAATGAGCATCAGAGCGGTGACTTCAGAGCTAGCTCAGGGGAAAGGCCTCAGACTGGGCCTCGATCTCACATTAATAGATGTTTGGCCATTTCGCAGAGGTGTGACCAAGTCACTGGTTTGCAAGTCACAAGTCTTTCCAGTCAGGTCTCGAGTCAAGTCAAAGACAACCAAATCCAAATCGAGTCCAAAGTCAATGATGTGGAAGTCTAAGTCAAGTTCAATTCCTTCACTTTGAATTTTCAAGTCATAATCAAGTCAACTTCAATTTAATGACAATGATAATAAATTAATTCCAGAAATAAAGCTTCTTAAAGCTTCATTAATTTGCTCAAACAGCAGAAAGTGCAACTGAAACTGATTATAAACAAAGTGCTGCTGCGTTTAGCAGTAAATCAAACCCAGAACGAAGACAGATTCACGATTTTTGTCCACATCGTGCCACTTTGTGCTAAAACATCAATATGCTCAAATCATCATCAAGTCGATTCAAGTCACAAGTCATTGGCGTTCAAGTCCAAGTCAAGTCATAAGTCTTTATAGATTTTATCAAGTCAAGTCAGAAGTTATTAAAATGATGACTCGAGTCCAAGTCATGTGACTCAAGTCCACACCACTGCCATTTAGACTCTCTGAACTTCAGTTTTATCTGCGTGTTTGTGTTTGTATGTTAATCATAGAATTATTTGGACAGAGGGCAAGCTGTGGGTTATTGACTACACTAACAGATCATCCAGCAGTTTCTGCTTCTTTTTATCAGTAAGTAAAATTATATTTCTGTACTTTATTTCACTGGCTGAATGGGGGGAATGCTGTGTCATTTAACATAACGCTGCTTGGTCAAAGATGGGTTGAAACATGACGAGTTGGTGAGGCTGGCTGGATACCAAAACTCAAGCTAGGTAAGCTGGCTGAGGCTAGTAGAGGTTTCTGAGCTTTCTTACCAATTCTTACCAATCCGTATAATCAAAATCATTACTAATTTAAGTAATCCACTTAGTTATATTTAAAAGTTGTTATTTTCAAATGTAACATTACATTTTTCATATTTACACCTTGCATTAAATATTTATTTTTTTCAACTCTTTAAAGATTTTAAAACATATACATTAGTCAATGTTTCATATTGTTTGCCGATTTTTTTATTTAAAAATCTCTGCTGATGTGTTCCATGTATAGAATAATAAAAAAATAAAATAAAACTTGCACTAAAAAAACAAAGTAAATAATCAACTTGTAGTATTTGGTAACACTGTCTTATAATTTGATTCAGTTTTACCAACAGTGTTTCCCCTAAAATGTGTAATGCATTGTCACTGGCCCATAAAACACAGTGTGTGTGTATGAAAACAATCTGTTAGAAATATTGCCAGTAACACTCCAGTATTAAACAGTGTAACAGCTGATCAGATGACCATATAATCCTGGGAGGTACCAGAAAGAATATGTTCCATAAACACACAAGATTCCTCTCAAAAGAAAAAAATCAGATCACGAAGGAGACTCTAACTTAACTGTTTGTTGCTCAAGAGCACTTACAATAAGCCAGATGCTTCCTGGAACAGCACAACAGCCTGCAGGGACTTTATCTCCTCGCTGTTGATGGCTAAGATCTGATGTTTTTATGTAGAAAATATGTTAGAATGAAATCAATGGGCAGTGCATTTGATGCAGGATGGTTTTGGAAAATACACTTTTTCTTGTAAGGTAAGGCTTTGGCTATTAAAACTGTGATTCGTCTTGCTACAACAATGACAGGGTGGATCTTGTTCAGATAAAAAAAAATGTAATACAAACAAAATTCTGAAAGAGAATTTGCTAAACTGAGCAAAGACATACAACATTTGCTGCTAAACTGTTTAATCAATGTCTTTAATTGTATAAATATTGCTTCTATCTTATTTTAAAGTAAGTTTTTTGTTTGAGAAATGTGCTGATTTGGATTTTTGCTATGCAAACTAAGCAGAATGATCATTTATCTCTTCATTAAAATAGTTATGAATTACTTTGCTTTGTGCTTGTTTAAAAACAGGATCATATTCATAATCGTTAGTCACACACTAGATAAACTATTCAAACCGCCTCTTAAATCTCGCTCCATTCATATAAAATATTAAAAGGAGAGAAGTATTGTGTTTATTGCGCCATATATGGAGCTTTTAACTTTTTTCACCTTGTCAAGAAGGGAACCCATCAGTACCAGGAAACAGCGCGGCAAAGGTCACGATGATTATTTATTGGCGATCAGCCAAGCGCGAGCACGGGCGCTTGTTCTCTACGTGCGTGCGAGCGCGCGCGCTAGAGCCAGCGCGCGTGTGTTTACTGGAAGAAGGTCTGAACGGAGGAGGCGGAGCCTTACGAACATCGGCTTCACGCTGGAACCTCCAGTAACCGTCCTACTCATACACACACATTCACACACACACACACACGTCACGCACACACACACACACGGACGGAATCTCTCCGGCACATCTCATCGCATTCCTCCGCTCCAAGAACAATCCCCACACAGCTTTTGGATTCATTTTTCCATTTCTTTTGGGGATTTTAATGCCTGAGATAAAAATTCAACTGGCACTACTTTCGGGTAGTTTGTACACATTTCTGTCCGGTGACGAGCGGCTGCGGCGCGGCGTTGAACAAATCCGCGAGGTAAGTTCTGAAAAGACTAACTAAATGACTCTGGTACCTGTTTTAAGTGTACGTGCGCTTACGGGCTGGGACCGGGACGTGTGTTGAGGATAATGGACTTGACTTCCTGACTAGCGGCTCGGTTCTATTAACCGTGGCTTCGGTCGCGCGCTGTCCCGTCAAGCTAACGTTAAAAACCGCTAGCTTTTGGACACTGACCCTCTTGAGTCCAGAGGAAGCCCACACTCCGAGCATGAATAAAGAGGCATTCCGCGACAGAAGAGGGTTGGGTTTTAAAAAGGAACAGCAGAGCAGCCCCGGACTCTTTGACAGTGACCCCGATTCAGAAATCCCTTGTTGCGGTGCACCGATCGAAGACAATTGAAAGCAATCAGGATCCTGTTGCTGTCTGGCTTCACGGTGCAGCAGAGGAGCTCCGCGTGAGTACGCAGTGGATTCGTTTAAACTAAATATAGCCTGCCGGCTCGCTGCCCAGTCCTGCTCTGTGCATCTGTCACAGCCGCCATAGCTGCGTTTTACGGGAGTAAGCCGAGAGCTTCAGTGTGGCGGGGTGGTCGTTTGTTTATGTCGCTGCTTGTGAAGGAGTGCAAGTTTCCAGTGGGATTGTCATGAGTCTATAAATAGGTAGAAGTGTCTGATTTGTTCTTTATCTGTCTTCCTCCAGCTGTGTTTAGGTGGTCTCTCCCAGCCCCTCTCTGGATGCATCAGACTCCTCCTCCCCGGGGCCCTGGACCCGGTGTGTGACCCCATCACCATCACCCCATTCCTCTTCTGTCTCCTCTTCATCTGCCCCACTCTCCTCTTCACCTATCTGCGTCAACGATCCTGCTACAGGTCCCCTGCCCCTCGGCCAGCGGGCAGAGGCAGGGGGTCCTGGAGCCATGGTAGTCCTCAATGGACACAGCCCCCTCATCATGAGCAGCATGGCCCCTTCAGAGGGCAGGGTTCAGGGGTCAAACTTTACTCCGCTTCACTACAAGCCCTTCAACTCGCATGAACACTACCAGCAGGTTTGTGACACAGCGCTTGTTACCTTGTTACAGTCCAAAACATTTCTCCATAACGATGAATCACAAGCTGTCTCTTCCTGTTTCAGGTGATGCGTTCTCTACGTAAGCTTCAGGAGAGTGGCTTTTACTGGGGAGCTGTTGGGGGTCGGGAGGCTAGCTCCCTGCTGCGCTCCGAGCCCCCTGGCACCTTCCTCGTCCGTGACTCGTCAGATCACCACCACTTCTTCACCCTGTCTGTGCAGACAGCTCGGGGAACCAAGAACGTGCGCATTCACAGCAAAGGAGGTGGCTTTTTCCTGGAGCCGGACCGCCAAAATACCCAGGACCTTCCCCAGTTTGACTGTGTGCTGAAACTCATAGCCCATTACATGGGGAAAGGGATGGACATGGGACGGAGCAGGGACGGGGCAAGTGGAGGCAATTCAGGAGAGGCAACAATGAAGGGACGCACTGTTTATCTGATCCACACCGGCAGAGAGAAAATCCCTCTGGAGTTGCGGCAGCCCCTCTCAAACTCGCTCTCATCCTTGCAGCACATGTGCAGGAGGACGTTGAACAGCAGGGGCCTTGAGGTGCTAGAGCAAACTGAGCAGCTCCCACACAACCTTAAGGACTTTTTGAAGAAGTATGATGCTCCTATATGACTGACAGGGACCACTAAGGTTCCACGACATGGACGTGTATCCTGGGGCGACGGCACAGACCTGTTCTCCGTGCTTATGAGAAGTTTTGCGTCACAAGAAACTGACCAGACTGAGCCGTAGATTTCCACGGTGGCCAGAATCATCTGAGTTTTTTTAATCCCAGCTGGACACTTTCAAGTCCTGGATGAGGAGGAGTGTGATTTGGGTAACCCAACGAGTACCTCGTCCACTCTGCCTTGGAAAAACTAGTGAGGGTGGCGGATCAAGCCACAGGTCAAAGGCCAACTTTTTCTCTGACTGACCGACGCAGAGCATTGCCTCACAGAAGATTAACCTGGTTGACATAAAACAATGGAAGCGAAGGAACTATCGAAGCAGTGATCTTGGCGTGTTTAAGGAGAAAGTGGGACATTTATGGCACTCTGGATCGCTGGAGAAAGAGAGCGAGAGACACGGGGAAAGAGCTGAGAGGTGGAGAGGGTGTGAATGAAAGAGGAGTTGCAGAAAAAAGGCAAAGTCCAAACAAGGGGCCCGGCAGTACACAGTATTTGTTTGTCTCGGTGTGTATTTGTGTGTTGTGGTTGTGCACATTTCCACTGCTGTTTCCCGCAAATGTTACCACATAGATGGGAGTGGGCTGGTCATGCACACTAGCTCCACACACACACACTCCTGCAGGTACAGGCTCGCATGAAGGTTTGGTTGGTGTGGGATGAAAAAAAAAATCATTACAAAGGGTTTCTCCTTCTCCGGGCCCGCCACCACCATCTTCCTGCTCTCTGTTTAATGCATGCACATGCTCTGACAGTGACAGAACACAGGCTTCAGTTGCAGAGACAAAAGCTTGTTATTGACACAAAAGCTTTGGCATGGGACCAATCAGAGCAGGAGAAGTTATTTTTATCCAGACCGTGTAAATCTCACTAGGAGATGGCGATATTACTCCCAGAGATGGGCGAAGAGGCTGCTGCTGGTGAGAAGACTGAAATAAGAGCGGGAAATGGGATTGGGAAGGGGAAATTAAAGGGGATGAAGACCTAGGGTGGTGGGGGGAGCAGGGGGAGGAGACATACTGGTACACAGCTTCACAAAAACATTGATTTAATTGACCATCGAGTCCCAACAGGATGCTGCTCCTGTAAATATACTAGCCAACTTCATAACAAAAGTCTTAATTTTGTCTTTTAGACCATCTTAGATTTAATATGATGAATTGTATTCCTTTTAGCTAAAATGTCCTGGTGAGCTTGAGTGTCTGTTTTAATTGTACACCATTCATGAAGTAGCTGAGAGGGAACGTGCTGGTTTATTTTTATTTTTTTGGACTATTGTTCGACTTGTGTTTGCTCTGTTTTCCTCCCGTTGTTGCCTCCAGAGAAGGAAGTGGTTTGTCAGTTAGAAGGGAACAAAAAAAAATGTTCTTGAATGATTCTGGAACAAAAACTGTCTTTTGTAAAAATCACAAGACTCAGATTTGACCCAGAAGGTGTTCTACCTGCGTGCGCCCCTTGCACACACTCACCTGTCATCCATATTGGAACTGAAGCCTTTTCACACCCTAAATCATGAGTGGAAGCAGCCGTGGTGATGCATGATGGGCTTTTTTGGGTTGGATCTGGGTCTTGCTGTCACATCAACACCAAGTTCTTACATGTGCTGCAGCGGTCGACCATGTGTTTGTAAATCATTTGTCTTTTATAAAGACTCGTGCAAAAGGCTGGCCACTAGTCTGGCAAACCCACAAGCCGTAAACCCTGAAATGACAAAGCATTACATAATAAATGAAAAGGAACGTTGCACATATTTATATTTCTAAAATATTTCAAGTAATTTATATTAAAGAGCACTATTTTTACAAAAGCCAATGCATGTGCCCTGAGTATTTACTGTTTGTCTCTCTGCCTCCTCCACTGCTCCTCGTTTCTCCCTCTGAGTCAATATTGACTGGATAACTTACTGTAATGTATTATAAAGCAGCCATTCCTGGCTTCTCAACAAGATTATTTACTGTCAAATGGGATTTCCTAGTTAGACAAAGCAGTGTTTATGGAGTTGGCTTGGCCTGGAAAACTGCACCTCGCTGCGCTGGGCGTGTACGCTTTTTTTCAAGCGGGGTTAAAATTACACCACCTCTCATTTTCTTTAGTACATTGTGCATTCACTCCTATAGGCAGCAGAGGGTGTTTACAAAAGGTGGACTGAGCTCTTGCTTGAGCATGCGCCACACCGTGACAAAGGGATTCCCAGAAACCCAGATCAGGAGAACTCCCGTCACACACATCCACCCAAACTTTGACACAGCAGTTACTGTGCAGAACGCTCACTTTGGGCTGGACTTAACTGGAAAGGAATGCAGCCGGGTTTTATACATCCTGCCTGAAAGGCTGACAGAGGGAGAGGGATGGTGTCCTCTGGGGAGTGTGTGTGTGTGTGTGTGTGTGTGTGTGTGTGTGTGTGTGTGCGTGCGTGCGTGCGTGTGTGTGTGTGTGTGTGTGAGGTCAGATAGGTGAAAGCATGCACGTGGATGAGATTTATGGCAGTCTGTGGTTTTAGTGTGAAGTCGTCCACCAAGTGTGTGTGTGTGCTAAAAGTGGTCAGACAAACAAAGCAAGATTGCTGTTTGTAAAATTAGGCAGGATGTGAGTGTCTTCATTTCTTTGCCCCCCTACCTTTCCTTGTCCAAACACACACACACACACAGCATATATATACACACACGGTTCCCATTCTCTGCATACCTTGTGCTCTGTCTGACGCTGGCTTCCAGGAAAGAGGCACTTTAATTGAGTTGAGTTTTTACGGCTTGCCTGGCGTTAGTGTGTGTGTGTGTGTGTGTGTGTGTGAGAGGGAGCAAATGAGGTGTGTTTGTGTGATAAATGATGGAGCAGTGATGAGTTTTTGAAAGAAAAATAATGGAAAAAAGATTTTAAAAGCATCTGAAATGTGAATGAAATCAGGTTTCTGTCATGAATAAATAATCACATCACTGTGCGCCTCTCATGTCTGAACACAAGCCATCCCGTAGCTGAGGATAACGCAGGGCGACAGCTTTGGTGCTTACCTCAGTGCAGGTAATTACACTGGTTCAGTTGCTTCGACCCTCATGAATTCGACTGTTTGTTTGTGGGAGGAAAGCTGAGCCGACATTAAAAATAACGCAGGTCAAAAAGACAAACCAGTTTCCCAAAATCCAACCAGAACTAAACAGTTTTACACACAAACACGTTGTCTAAATAAGCTAGCTCAGCTCACTCTGACTCATTTTATGTTTCCCATAGTTGCCTGGTGAGTGGAGCTGGAATATTTTTCCTGTATCCTTAGCTCCTCTTGTGAATCTCACACGCTCACACAAAGTCTTTCCACTGTGATTCATTTTTTCAGTTTATGACTTGCTGTGTGCTGCTCAACCGTTGTCAACAGCGCCTCGGCCAAGCACAACACCCGGCTCTCAAACAACTGAGCTCAATCCTGCCTCTCTTTTTTTTTTTTTTTTTACTTCCAAGAATGAAAACATACAGGCTGAAGTTTTGGGCTGCTCCCTACTTATAGCTCTGACTGCAGGATTTAATGCAGGATGAGGAAACGACAAAGCAGGCTGAACATTGAGCTTGCAGCCTGATTAAAATCTAAGAGTAATCAACATCTTAGTGTGTGTTTTATGAAATTTCTGAGCTCTTGCCAAAGTCAGCCACCTGGAAGGTGGAAAGAATATCAGGAGGTTGGGAAAATGCCTCACGACTGGCAATCCACTCCAGCCTTCCAGGAAGGGCCTCCGGTTTGCTGATTATTTCTTCCAGGAAGGCTCTTTGCTGCCTGATCGGCGCTTATAGGAAACTCATTTGGTTGGCCCATCAGTCCAAGTATTGTCACAGCCGCTTCTGATAAGCCAGACCAGCTTCTAGGAAACCAGAGATTTACCCTCCAGCATTCCATCATTCCTTCACCATCAGAGCAGACAAGGAGGGAACGCGAGGCAGAGGAAGGGGTATAACCGGGACATGGATCAATAAAAACCATATGGGAAGCATACAGACGAGCGAAGGCACTCAGATATCATGTGTGTGTGTTTGCGTGTGTGTGTGTGTGGGGGGGGGGAGTTCCTGCCTGCAAACACACACGTACAAAGTCTTGACTTGTACCGACCAGCTCATTGTGACACATGTTGAAACACACAAACCACGTTATTTTTCTAAGCTGACTCACTTTTTCACACGCATTTTCTCCAAAACCCTCACAGCTCATTGTGACTAACTTCATGTTGGGTTTCCCTGAACACCTGGACCTCCTAACACATGGGGCGTGGCAATTAATGGCTGGAAATGCAAATAAAGTTAAAAATGCAATGAAATGAAAGGTAGAAGCAGACTGTGAAAGGCAGCTGCGAGGCATGTTACTGGCACAGATGGGCTGGTTTTTTTTTTTTTTGTTTTTTTTTTTTTTGCTCTCCTCTCACAGCTGCACAAGCACAACAGCAGGAAAGCTCAGATGCCAAATGACTTACTGTAAGAGAGTGGACTTTGACCCGGCCCTCTAACGCTCTCAGGTGTCACAGCGTGTCCCCACAGCCTGCAGGACTCACACTGTTGCACACTCACACACAAGTTCAAGCACTACCATATGCACATATGAATGTGGTGAGTAAGGGCTTTCTGCTCCTGAATGCAGCTATAGAGGACTCAAAACCCTTTCTATCCTTCTTTTTTAAGTCAGATTTGTTTTCTTCACTCTCAACAAAAAGAAAATCCCCATGAGCAGTCAGTAAAAACAATATGAGCCAATAAAGATATGTATCACATAAAATAGGCAAATTTTAAAAAAGTTTATTGTGAATGTTGTAAAAGGCAGAAGTTGAGGTTAAGAAATTCTCTGAGGTTTGCCAACCAGGAAACCCGACTTCTTGCAACATTTTCTTTGATTGTTCCTGGGCGGAAATCAGAAATGTTTGTTGCCATATGTTGCAGTATAACACTGTGGTAATAGTTGAAACTTACTGGAACTATAATATGTTGTAAAGGAAGAGGTCATAAATAAAAAAGAAGAAGCTACTTGAGGGGGGGGGGGGGGGGGTTTAAAAACACTACACGGTGGCATAAAAGGGGAAGTAGAGAAGTCAGAAAGAACATCATGACATCAAAGATCTCTCAGAACAAAATGACAACATGCCTGAAAGCTGTTACTCACACGTAACAATCTTGAATCAACACATGTATACCCCATTTTTTCAATCAAAGTGGCTGTGTTAATAAGCGGTTACAGGGAGTACTGGGAATAATGGACATAGTTTTGACTTTAGAGGTGTGGGGGGACACAACCGGCATGGGGATGGGGAGTCTTTAAAGTATATATATTTATATATGTGTGTGTGTCAAGGTGGAGAAACAAGGGCCCGGGCAGGATTTGATCCCCAGACTCCCGGGTGAGATAACCAGTCAGCCAAATGAACATCCGCTTGGCCAAGTAGCCAGGGCGCATGATCAATCGGGACACTGTAACAGAGACTCACACTGACACACACACATATAATATATATATATATATATATATATATATATATATATATATATATATATATATATATATATATATATATATAAAACTACAGCCTTGAGGCTCTTTATTTCCTCCCCCCTGTCCTGTCTGGCTGTGAAGCAAACAGAATAGGGCGGGGGGAGGGGGGGGGGGATTGGTGAAATTCTGGCAACACAATACGTATCATCATACAGGGGAAACGATAAAATATATTGCGATACATTCAGTGAGACGACATTAGCGATTTTTTTAGACTGAATTTATTGTAGGAAAATTCAATAAACAGTCATAATAGCAGGTTTTACATTTCAATGGTGTCTCAACCAGTGTCTATTTAAAACAGTGTAATATTGTTTTTAGATGGTAAAAAGTGCAGGGGACAAAAATTGGCTTAGGAAAAAGTAGGGGTGGGGGCATGTCCCTCTTGTGTCCCCCCCCCAAAAAAAATTACATCCATGCTGGAATACTGCTCAAACTGTACAGACATGAAGTGTAATGTGCTAACACGTTTTTTTCGTGACATAAATGACAAAATCCATTTTACACTATCTGCATTGATGCATGAATGAAAACTCTTTATTTAAATGAAAATCAGCTTTTGATTCAGGAATCTTTGTAAGTTTTACACCAGTTTCTTCTTCACAGAAGCCAGTCTGTCACAAGGCAACACAGAGACACACGGGACAAACAACCATGCATGCACACACCTAAAGATCATTCAGAGGCCATCAACCTAACAATCATATTGGACTGTGGGGGGAAGTCGGAGTACCTGGAGAGAAGCCACGTATGCAGGCTGTGACTGGAACCTGAGACTTTCTTGCTGCAAGGCAGTTTGCGCTAACCACTGTGCAGCTTACTCTGTTCACATGAATAATCATTTTCCACAAGAACTAGTTAGGGAGTTCCACAGGGTTTGGTACTTGAACCTTTTGAAAACCAAGTTAACTGAGAAACCATTTTTCTTTACTTGTTAAAGAGCAAGTCAACCCCTACCAGTCTCACTCCACTCCCACTTCCTGTTTGAAAAATGCGATAAATGCTGTTGCCTGGCAGACCGAGAGGGCGGAGCCGCTAACAAATACACACACACACACAGGCTCACGACAGCACTGTGACATCATAATGTACCAGTTTACATCATAGCATACCTCTTAGCCAATAGCGGTTGCAGATTTAAATTCAAATATAGTTCAGAGTTTTTACCTGACAACGGCAGAACACTGCCAGTTTTATGCAGAATATTTAAATTTTAACTAAGATGCACTGAAGTGCCAAATTATTGACTACACGTGTCTGCAGCACGATTAGACACTCGTTTATTTAGTTTATCAGC